CCTAAGTGTCCATCAGTAGATGAATGGATAAAGAAGATGTGGTACATGTACACAGTGGAATATTATTCAGCCATAAAAAGAAGACAAATCCTACCATTTGCAACATGGATGGAGCTGGAGGGTATTATGCTCAGTGAAATAAGCCAGGCAGAGAAAGACAAGCACCAAATGATTTCACTCATCTGTGGAGCATAAGAACAAAGCAAAAACTGAAGGAACAAAGCAGCAACAGAATCACAGAACCCAAGAATGGACTAACAGTTACCACAGGGAAAGGGACTGGGGAGGATGGGAGGGAAGGGAGGGGTAAGGGCGGGAAGAAGAAAGGGGGTATTATGATTAGCATGTATAGTGTTGTGGGGTAGAGGGGCATGGGGAGGGCTGTGCAACACAGAGAAGACAGGTGGTGATTATACAGCATCTTGCTACGCTGATGGACAGTGACTGTAGTGGGGTGTGAAGGTGGGAGCCTGGTAAACATAGTGTTCTTTGTGTAATTGTAGATTAATGATAGCAAAAATATATATATATATGCACACCACAGAATTCACCCTTTCAACACATGCAACTCAATGACTTCTAGCACATTCACAAAGTCGGGCAGCCATCACCTCTATCTGCTCCAGAATTCTTATCCCTCCCTAAAGAAACCCCTCCCTGTTCGCTCCCCCGCCCCCAGTCCCTAGCAGCTACTAACCGACTTTCTGTCTCTTGGATTTCCGTATTCGGAACACTTCCTATACATGGAATCTTGCATCACATGGCCTTTGTGTCTGACTTCTGTCAGGGTCAGGGGTAAGGGCCAGGTCAGGGCTTTCGAGGTCCCTCTGGGTGAAGCCTGTCAGTGCCCATCCTCTGTGCAGAGCAGCACCACGCTCAGAGGGCCACCTGGGGTCCACCCACTTGTCTGCCAGTGGACACTTGGGCTGTTCCCCCTTTGGTGGCTGCGCACAGGGCCTCTGAGCATTCACGTGCACGTCCCCATGTGGACCCCTGGCTGTATACCTAGGGGCGGCATCGCTAGGCCACACGGAGACCCTGTATAGCATTTTGAGGAACTGTCAAAGTTTTCCAGAGCGACTGCACCGTTTCACATCCCAGCAGGAGCATCTGAGGGCTCTGTCTTCTCTACTTCATGTCTTGGAGTCTAGCCACCTGGAGTACGTCGTGGCCGGTCCTGTAGCTGTGATGTGTTTCCCTGACGGCCAACGGAAGCCTCTGTACGTGCATTTGTGGCCCATCCGTGTGCCTCCTTTGGAGCAATGCCTCTTCCAAGCTTTGCCCACCTTTTTGATTGTCCTTTCACTGTTTTGAGATTCTTCCTCTACTTGGATACCAGACCTTTACCAGAATATGACTTGCAAATGGGCTCTCCCAGTCAGTGGGCTGCGCGTTCCACTTGGTTGGTGTTTTTGTTGCTTTTGATGAAGTCCGACTGACCTGCTCATTCTTTGGTTGCCGTGCGAAGGTGTCACAGCGAAGAGACTACTGCCTAACCCCAGGCGTGAGGACTTACTTCTGGAAGTTTTCTTCTGGAAGTTTTGTGTCCTGGCTCTCATTTAGATGCAGTGCTGTGAGGTGGGTCACCTCATTCTCTGCTGTGTGGACACGCCCCCCACTACCTGTCGAATTGTTTGTGCACCCTTGTCAGGCAACCACAGGCCTGTGTGCGTGGGTTCACCTCTGAACTCTCAGCTTTGTCCTGCGGGCCTGTGTATCTCCTGGGTGGCTTGCTTTCCGCCACCCAGTGCTGCCAACACGAGAAACTTATATTATCAGTTGCAAGGGGATGTCTCCTGACTCAACAAATATACAGGCACTTGCACGTGGGCGCGGGAGTCACGTCCCTGCGTCAGCCTCATTAGAAGAGGACGTGGGCCCATGTACGGACGCCACGCAGCCAGTCTACCCTCCCGGGGGCTCTGACGGGACAGCACCGTCCCCTCCCTGAGAGGCTGGCGGGGCTCTTGCATCGCATCTCTGAGGTGGTGGCCCCAGGGGACTGCCCGTAAAGGGAAAAAAGGAGAGCAGACACAGAGTGAGGAGGGGATGGGGGGCCTTGGGGGCCCCCACTGCCAGCATGGAGCAGGCTCTGTATTCACATGCGCCGTGATTGCTGTTTTTAGTCAGAATCCCTTATGTCCTGTCTCCTGACCCAGGGTTCCTAGTCCCCCCAAGCTATACGTGCGTATCAGTCAGAGACGGAAACCACCCTGCATAAGTGAGCAGAGGAATTCAAGGGCAGGGCTTGTTAACTGGGTAGGAAGTTAATAAGGAGGTGCCAAAGGAAGAGAGGGGCTGGGGCCCCAGAAGGTGGGCAGGGCCTGGACAGCCGCTGGAGATGGGCTGGGGGGGTGCAGGCTGGCTCTGCTCAGCAGAAAGGGCAGGGCTGGGAAGGTGGTGGCAGCGAGGCCTCATGACTGGCTGGGTCCCAGCTGTTTTCTGTCTTGCTCTGTCCAGGGGTACATCTGTGTAGAGCTTGCCTGTCGTGTCTTCTGGGGCTGCTCAGGCTGGGGGCCTCTGTCCTGTTTTCAGGGCACCAACTCCTACTCGTCTGAAGGTAACTACAATCAGTGGGCAAGAACACTCAGTTCCCGCCACCAGGCCGGTGGTCAGGGACCTGTCCAGTGTGTGCCCTGTGTGCCCTGCTCCAGCACGGAGGGGGCACAGTCAGGCCCCAGCAGGAGAGGCAGTGCTGTCCCCTCCTCCACGAGGACCGTGGGACCTGGCCTGCTGGGGTGGCAACTCCCGGGGTTGGATAGCCTGTGTGCTATTAAGAATCCTGTCTCAAATGCCAATGCCTGGGTGGTAGCTGACACTCACTACCTGTTGCCACCCATGGGGAGCAACTGTCCCACCCTCTCCACCCACTAGCTGCTCCTGTCACTTTTCTTTGAGCTGAGCTCAGATGTCAACTCCATGACCAAACCTTCCGGAAGCTTCCCCTCAGCAAGAACGATACTCTTCAGCATAGCCAGCCTGTGCTGAGTACCCAGCAGCTGGAAGACTGAGTACCCGGCCCCCAGACAGGCCTCAGTGGCCAAGGGGAACAGGCAGGAGAGAGGAAAGCTGGAAAGGTACGAGGGTCCACGGAGGGCTGGACGGAGCCTGCGAGGGGCTCAGAGAAGCATGGACGGAGATGTCCCCCAACCCAGCCCTCTGTCTGCCGCCTGCCATCTGCCGAAGCAGCCCTCAGCTGGCCCAGAGGGACCTACCTTATCTCTCAGGAGTTTCTCGGCAAAGGCTACCTGCACAAGGTCACCAGGAAGGGCCTGCAGCAGAGGATGTTCCTCCTGGTAGGCGGGTGGGGAGCCGCTGGGTGGGGGCCCCAGGGAGAATAACCCAGCGAGGGCTGCACAAAATCCTTCCAGGCCAGCGCCTTCCTGTGCTCAGTGGGCCAGAAGCCGAAAGAGAGCTCCCCATGCCTGTGGCTGGTGCGTGGGGTCTCACCACAGGCCCGATGTGCTGGCTTGGACTCTGGGAGCCAAGGCCTTCCCAGGGAGTGCCTGTGGCCACCAGGCTGCCCACAGTCAGCAAATTCCCTCACGCCCAGTGAGGGTTAGTCCCGAGCTGCCCTGGATGAGGGGGACTGTAAGGACCAGCTGGGGACCCCCCTTCCAGCTGATGAACCCATACAGCTGGTGGGCAGCAGGCACAGGCCCAGGAGGGCTAGTTACATATGGTCAAAAAATGAGTGTGTGCATAAAATAAAACTTCTGCCAAAATCATTTTTGCGAAACATCCCCAGCAAGTTGACTCTGACAAGCTCCTACCAGCCCCAGCAAGGAGCTGGTCTCACTCACCATGGAGACAATGAAACCTAGTCACTTGTTTTTAAAAGTTGCTTGTCCAAAGGCCCATCTCTCAGCTCGCAGATGTGCTGCTGCACAGGAGCAAAGGGGTGTCGGGACGCCAGCCACTTCCGGATCCGGGGCCTGCTCCCGCTCCTGGGCATGACGGTGAGTGCCCGGGCGCCGCTGGCTGTGCCTCAGCCGGTCATGGCTGCTGCTCCTGGGGCTCCAGCGACCACACCTGTGGCTGGGGGCGCCCCTCCAGGCCTGCAGGCCGGCCCGCAGTCTCGGCCAGCACCTGCAGGACAAGGCCCTTCGCCTCGGCCACCTCTTGCCTATCTTTCCTCTCATGATGTCCTGGCTGTTTGTGGCACCAGTTAATGTCACACACACGCGCGCACAGCTCTGAAATGGTAAGACCCGCACCCAGCATGAGAAGCCCAGGCCGGGCTCAGGGCCGCTCTTAAGCCTGGCCGCCCTGCCCCAACGGCCTCTGCCGCATGGCCCACGTGCTCATCATGACCTTCATCTCTGCTCTGAGCCGTGTCCCGCCGCAGGTGCAGTGTGACACCTTAATGCTGTCCTTTGAAAGCTGGTGCCAGCCTGGTCCCTTGTGGCCTCATGAAGACAGTCTGAAGGACATGTGGAGGCGCTGGCACTCTGTCCCTCTGTCCCCTCAGGAAGACCTGCACCCAGCCAGCGGCCCGTCTTCAGAGGGCCGAGGGAGGCAGCCACAGCTGGTTTGCCATAAAGACGTGTCTGGCCTGGAATATCCTGCTACAGCCACTGCTGGCAGGCGGCCCTGTCCCCTCCTGCTTGGGAGCGGCAGCTCAGCTCTGCCTGCTCTCAGCCAGGCCTCATCGGCCAGCAGCAGGACAGACCCATCTGCTAAAGCGGCCTCTTTACAGCTACACTGGCATTATAGGAGAAAACAACCGAAAACATAAAAGGAAAGCACTCTTTCTGCCCAGCATGCACCACGACCCACACACTCGCAGGCTCCATGCACTGGGATCACCTTCCCAGGGTCTTGGAGCTGAACAGCCCGCTCACCACTGAGCCCTCGTGCCCTCGCCTTATCACTTGGCAACTTCCTTACGCTGGTCATCTGACTGCACTGATTTTTCAGAATTGGAAATAGCCCTGAGACCTGCATCTATCTACACACCCTTAGCCGTCTTGAGAAGCATACTGTGTGAGCACCGTGCGTGCCTGTTTCTCTGAATCTTGCCTGACTGTTGTGTCACCTGGCACTCGGCTGTGTCGCCTGGTCTCCACTGTAGTCTGCTTTTCCTACACATTTGTGAAACATTTGTAAAGGTGCTGGCCAGCCCTCTGAGGTCCTGGCCCACTGGCCAGTCCTATCTACTCTGCCTGCAGTTGGCTTTACCTTGTAGGACAAGAACTCCCATCTGGATGAGGACAGGGTTTGTCTCCCCAGAACAGCATCTGGTCCGGGGGCCCTGGCAAACACTCAAGTGACCATGGTCAGACCTATGCCCCTGACCCGGGCAACTCCTGCCCACACCGGGGTCCCGTCGGCACCTTGTCTTCCTGGTGCACCTATGGTTTCATTCCTCTGGTTCCCATTTGCCTGTGCTCACTGGGTGGGGTTCAGATTGGGACGTCATGTCTCTCCCATACAGCCGTTCCCCTATTGCTTGTTGAGTCCGCTTCCTCACTCAGAGGTTGCCATTACCATGTGAAAAGGGGTTCTTCACCCTGGGGTTCCTCCTGGGCATTCTGCCCTGCCTCTCGGGGTCAGTGTCCACCTGTGCTCCTCTGATTAATGGATGTGTAAGTTCCATCCCTTATTCATTCCTCTCTTTAGAAAGGTCTTTGCTATTTTCAAGCATCTGATTCTTCCAAAATAAACTTTGGAATCACTTGGGCAAATTCCTTCAAAAATATACCATTTTGATTATTGAAGTGACATATGAGGGGAGAGTATTTTCTTGATGACCTTCTGCTGGCTACTGGTCATGTGACTTCAGACCATTATGTCCCATGCGGGGCCCAGTGGCTGGCATCCTGCAGACCCTGCACAGGGAACCTGTGCGCTCTGTGGGGCCGTGTGTCACTGGCCAGTCCTGGGGAAGGATGACAGCCTGTGGCTTAGGAAAGGTGGCCTTTACATGTCAACACAGCATCTCTTCTGTTCCTCACAGATACCATCAGATGGAACATGTTGTTTAGCAAAGGAATTTCCAGCAGGTAGAGAAAGGTCCACTTCTCCTCTTGAGTGTGTAACAAGGCCAATTCTATTGACCAGCTTCCCGCTTTCATATTTCATTTAATCACTTACAACTGGGATTAGTATGTATAGGTTTTTCTTGGAATCTAACTTCACTAGGTTTTGGTACCAGGTCTATAAAACTATTTGTCCAACTCCTTTTTAATAATGATAATACTCAACACTTTTTCCTGTGCTTGATTTTCAGCTAATAAGTGCTGGACCCACCCACAAGTAGTGTCTTGTAGCCCACAGCTCACCCAGCTGGGTGGCAGGTGCTGTGGCATGGGGATTCCATGCTGCCCATAGCCCCAGAGTCAGTGGAGATTCGTGTCGTGCTTTGTGCTCGGGTCCAGCCAGCCAGGCTTTCTCCCATCCACACTCCCACCTCCTCCCACTGACAGGTAGAAGGGAGAGAGAATGAATGGCCTATTCCACACTGTCTCACCATTCACGCAGCTCAGGAGACAATCGTGGTGGCAGCCAGGTAAGGGCCTTCTACGTCTACACCCACAGGGTCCCAGGAAGCCTGTCATGACCTGGGGTCCCCTCTGAATTGTGTTAGTCAGGGGTATATGTACCTCTTGGGCACAGCTTCAAGGTTAAGCAACCAAAGGAGCAGCCGCCCCCTGGTGGAGAGCAAGGGGGAAGCTGGTGCCTTTGAAATGACCCACGGAGACTGGCTGTGGCACTGCTGGGCTGCCCGTGCAGGGATGGTGGGACACTGGGACATGAGCCCTCTGGCACCAGGCTGGCAGGCGGCCACGTCAGGATCCCCAGAGCTGTTCAGCACAAGGCCAGCAGGCCATGGCTTGGGAACAGGTCACCCCACTCCTCCCCAAGTAGGTCAAGGGGAAGGGAGAAGGCGGGAGCCCAGGCAGCCAGGGGCCCCCCACGCAGCGCTCACCCTCCCCGTGGCCAGGCATCCAGCACAGGGAGCATCCTCTGTGACCCCCGGCGGGCGCCCAGCCCTCAGCTCTCTCACCGTGTCCTGGCCAATGCCAGTGAGCATGGGGTACTCAACCTGGAAGCTTAGGTCTTGTAGCTCAGCACCAGAAACAAATTGCCCAGTAGCCCTGGTGCCAGTGCTGAGGGGCTATGCCCTCCATCCTGTCCCCATCCCCCACAGCTCTGGGGGGTGCAGGCAGGGTCCCCAGCAATGGTCGGGACCCATAGGCCAGTTGCCCCTGAGCTGGCTCTGACCCCCCACTCCCGCAGCACCCAGCTGTAAAAAGAGAAGCGGATGCATGACCTGGCCACGGCCACTGATGCAGCCAAGAACAGGCTGCCACCTCCCTGGCAGTGTGCACCCCACCCCACAGCGAGTTCTGGCCAGGACCCCGCAAGACTCCCACAGCACCTGAGGAAGCTTCTGTACATCGGTGTTCCTTGGCCACAGCCCACCCGCTGAGCTCTCAGGCTTTCCTTCCACAAGGGCCACCCCAGGCTGTACAGCGGGGAAGGGGCTGCAGGCTCCCAGGCTTCGGCCTGCTGCTGCCCCGGGCGCCAGGCTCTCTAGAGGGGCACAGCCAGCAACGGGCCACCACCACGGTGCACATGTGCGGGCACCGGAACACGACCATCTCCAGAGCCAACCACAGTGCCGCCACCCAGGTGTGGCTCCCGCAAGCTCCCCCTCTGCTGTGCCAGCGGCTGGTGAGGCAGCAGGGCTGGGCAGACACACAAGTGGGTTGCCTCGCACTCCCCTTGGGCAGGAGGGCAACTTGGAAGATGTCCTCAGGCACAGCAGCCAGGGGCCACTTGTCCTCCCCGAGTCGTCTTCTGGGTCCATCACCTGAAGCTGCCGCCTTGGACTCCAGCCACTCGGTCCTCAAGCTGCCTCCATTCGGTGTGGCTTCTGAGCTCGTCGAACCCGTGGGTGGGAACAGCAAAGCCAGGCAGAAGCACTCAGAGCCCCAGGCTCACCTGTCAGATGGGGCCTGACACAGGGCACGCTCGAGCAGAAGCACGTGGCCACACTGAGACTTGCAAGCTGGGAGTGGCCCTGGCCACTGCACCTCAGCCATCTGTGCTGTCCCCTCACGGTAGGTGCAGGGTTTCTGCCCCCTCCAGACCCTCGTAAGCATCAACCCCGGCTCTTGGGTCGTGGACGGCTGTTGGCCCGATGTGCTGGCTTGGGAGTTTCTGATGGTCCAACCTCTTCTCCAGGTGGATGGAGGTGATCAGGAGAGCCAGCAGCTCGCCCGGGGTGGGCAGGTGCCCAAAGGAGGTGGCAGCCTGAGCTATCCTGCCTGGGTGGCAGAGCCCAGGAGGCCGGGCAGGGTCAGCACATGCCCACAGCTGCTCATCCCCACAATGACACACAGGAGCAGCAACACCACGTCAAGACCCAGCGTGGTCCCTCAGCCTGTGCGGCTGGGAATGCAGGCCCGCAGGCCGTGGCAAAGCTGGTGCTCACCTGCCCTCTCCTTCTCTGGAGCAGGGCCCTGCTGAGCAGCAGCCCGGAATGGACCAGTGGCCCCCAGCTTCTGCCACCTGACATGCGCCAAGCCCAGCCACCCTGTCCTTCATCTGGGTGAACCAGGGGTGGGGGCGTGGCTGGGCTGCTGTGCCATCTGACATACCTCTGGACAAGTGGAAACCAAAGTCCCCACATGGCCCTGAGAGGGCGAGGGCCTTGAAGACAGGTGGTGTGCACATGCACTCATTCCTGTGACGTGTGGCCCATAACAAAAGACATCTCCCTGTGCCTGCGTGCCTTCTCTGTTTGGTCAGGGTCACCCCTGCCCCCATCCTGCTTTCCTTCCAGCGGACCATGTGCTGTCACCAGGGGCTGTGAGCGACTCCAAAGCCAGGAACTGAGCACTCCAATGGGGGACCAGGGCTGTTGGCCCTGCCTGGTCCCGGTCCCCACCCACCACCAGCATGCCTCCAATTCAGGTCTTTATTTAAAGTGGTAGAAGCTTCTCAATATTTTATGAAAACGAACCTGAACCTCAAGATTATTTAGGGAAGCAAGGACATTGTTTGGTTTCTTGTATACAAAACGTTCTGACACCAGTACTTACAAGACACGGTACCTGATCCGACACCACAAGGCAAATCTAGGACCACAGGGGGACCACACCTGCCCCCCATCTGCTCCTCAGGCTGGTGGCCGCACATCCAAGCCTGCAGAGGGGATGGCCTAGCAGGGGGCCTCACAAGACCAGCCCCTGCCTCGGGGCTGCAGCAGAGGCTGGGCTGTCCTCTGCATGGGGTGGGGTCTGTGGCCCAGCAGTGAGGCCCACGCAGCCATGACGCAGCACGAGGGGTTCTGATTCAGCCCAGTCCTCAGGGAGCCCTAAGCTGAGGCCCTCCTCCCGGAGCTCCACAACCAGCACACTTCAGCGGGTCGAGGTCAGGTGGTTCCTGTTGTGTGAATACCTGCGGAGAAGGGAGAGGCCCCGTAACCACCCCTGCCCCCCAGCTGAAGGCAGGGCAGCCAGTCCCCACCCCAGGCCCTCCGCGCCTCACCGCTGCACCCGCTCCACCAGGTGGGCCATCAGCTGGTCTGAGATGCCAGGGCAGGACTCCTCGGCCAGGCTGAAGGCGTTCTCCAGCTCCTCCAGCGCCCCCACGCCCCCGCCGCTCTGCCTGTGCTTCTCCTTAAGCTGCAGAGAGACCACCAGGCCTGACCACAAGCTTCCCAGCCCGCCTGTGACTTGCATTAGGGGCCCAACAGCGGGGAAGTGGTGCGCGTGCAGCACCCCCAGCCACCAGAGCTTCTAATGCCCCTCCCACCGCAAGCTAGGATGGGCTGGGCCCTACTGAGTCCCTGGAGGTCTGGTTAGAATCCAGCCAACCCCGAAGAGCTCCAGGAAAGGCAGGTGCTGCCCTCATACCTGCCTATGTGTGTCTAGGCCTTGGTTCTCAAGAGGGGTCTCCGCCTGTCCCTGTGCCAGGGCAGGCCAGGCCAAGCACAGGGTTTCCTCCCAGTGAGGGCCACAAAAGCCCAGGCTCAGACCCAGTGGCCTTGAGAAAGCAGCAGAGGCTCCCTGCGGGCTCAACATGGCCAGCCTGCCACCCCGGCGAGCCGGCCCTGACCTCTCCCTCGGCTGGAGGGCCCCCAAACACAGACATGCGGCTTCCCCACCCAGAGATGTGGCACCAAGTGGAGGGCCCATCCTCCGGCCATGCACAGGGAGGGTTAGATGGATGGACGCATCCTTTTGGTCGCATCCCTCACCACAGAAACAAGAGGGAAGGGCCTGCATGCATCCTGGGCTCCCTGCCCAGCATTCCTGACCTTAGGCCCGCCCATGGCATCAGGACCCCAGGGCTGCCCCTGCCAGCCTGGGTGGGGCTATACTTCCCAGCCCTCACACATCCCCCCCAACTCCCAAACCAGACACACACACACACACCAGCTGGCCGGCCCTGCTCTCCAATACTCACCACCTGCCCAGGCCTCCCTGCCTGACCTAAATGTCCGAGAAGCGCCCCACAGCCTCCACTGCACAGCCCCAGGTGCCCACACGGCTCCCATGACAGCCCCTCCCCACTGACACCTGGCCAACTCCCCCTGCGTCCCAGGCACCCCCACCCCTGGGGAAGCCCATGTCCTGCCTTTCTCTGGGAGGCTGTGATGCCTCACCGCTCACAGGGCAGGACCCACTGCCCACCGACTCCAGGGTGTGGGAGCTCCCAGCTGCATATTCCTGGGGATGCTGCCAACTGCCCATCAGTGGGTGACAGGGTCACAGAACCACTGGGGAGTTGCCCTTGGGGCCTCCCTGCCCTGGGTTTGACACCTAACACCAAAGACTAAACCTCCAGGCCTCACTAGACAGAGGATTTTCCTGTGTGTGTGCAGTTCACAACAGGCAGTAACAGGACAGTAGTTCTTGTTTGAAACCAGCCTGGGATCCCAGGGGACCCCAGCAGGACTAGGAACTCAAGGGTTCCTGTCCCAACCATTCCTGGTCTTTCCCTTAGCCTGGCGCAGAGTCCAAACACACTGGGCTCCCAGGCACCGGGCACCTCACCGTGACCCGTGTTGGGGTGCAGTGGGGAAGTCCCCACCAATAGCACTATGGCCCCGGCCCAGCCCTCACCTCTCCGAAGACAGGCCGGACCAGCGTGGACAGGCACTGGGACCTCGGCTGCCTCTGGACAGGCTCTGCCGGCTACAAAGGCAAAGCGAGGCGGGCGGGCGGGGTAGCGAGCGCTGGCTGGAGCCCCCAGCCTCTCACGGGGCCGGCCCCCACCCAGCCTTGCAAGTCGGCTCCAAAGGCCCACCCTCCCACGGGCCAGACCTTCTGGGGGCCGAGCAGCGCTGTCCCCTTGTGCAGCTTGCTGTGTGGGCTCGGCCGGACGGTTGGGGGGAACGTCCAGACAGGGCCCTGCTCCCCGTCCTCGGCGTCCCCGTCAATGTCGGAGTCCTCGGAGCTGGACTCCTCGCCATGCCCCTCCGCCTTCCAGCGCTTATAGCGGTCGATGAGCTCCGTGAGGAAGGACGTCTTCTTGGTATAGCGCGCAATGAACTTGTGCTTCAGGAGCTCCTTGGCGGTGGGCCGCTGCAGGGACAGACGTGGGTCACCAGGCGCTGGGGAGGCCGTGCTTGCCTCTCAAACTCCCAGAGTGCAGACACGGCGGGCCTGGGACACACAGGTGGGCCGAGCCATCCCTGCTCCCTGGGAGGCTGTGGCTTGGGGTCGTCTGGGGGAAAGCAAGCAACTATGAGCTTCCCCAGACCCAGAAACAGAGGGAAGGGCCTGCATGGCAAGATGCGCAAGGGGGGGCTCTGGACTAGGAGGGGCTCAACGTGAGGCCAACCTAGAGCGGGGGCCCTCCAGCCCCGCTGCCTCCCACTCCTGCCCTGGACCCCAACAACTCTTCTCTGGGGCCCTATCCAGGCCTTCTTCTGGCCCAAAGCACAGAGCCAGGGGCTTACAAATCGGGGGTCTTTGTTGAGGCAGGCCTCCACGAACTCCTTGAAGGGCTTGCTGTGGTGGCCCTCCAGCGTGGGCGGGCTGTTCTTGGGGATGAGGAACAGGACGCGCATGGGGTGGAGGTCCGAGTTGGGAGGCTCGCCCTTGGCCAGCTCAATGGCCGTTATCCCCAGGGACCAGATGTCAGCCTGCGTGGAGAGCCACACAGGTCTGCTGGCACCAGGGCACACAAGCCCCACTGCCCTCACGCCCACCGCCACACCTACCTTGAAGTCATAGGCCGACTGCTTGATGACCTCAGGGGCCATCCAGAAAGGGGTGCCCACAAACGTGTTCCTCTTGATCTGTGTGTCTGTGAGCTGCCCAGCCACCCCGAAGTCTGCCAGCTTCACGTCACCCTGCTCCGAGAGCAGCACATTGGCAGCTACTCAACACAGGATGCAGGTGTCACCCTCAGTCGCGAGGGCCCCATCCTACGTGCAGCTGCCCGAGGAGGCACTGCTGGCATCCACCTGCTGCCCGAGCACTCCCCCAGCCTGAGCCCCCAACCCCAAGAACAGAGTGGCCACCCTTTCTCCCAAAGCGCTCAGCAGACAGGATGACCCTGACCCCTCCCGTCTCTCAGCCACGGCCTCCCCGGGCACACCTGCAGGGCCAGCCCACAGAGGGGTGCTCACACCCACACCTGACGCTCAGCAAGAACTCGGCTGAAACAGAGTCCCCCTGCACAGGGCACACTGTTGGCTTCTCAGCACACAGGACACAGTGCCTTCTAGCACCAGAGCAGAAGGGGGCTGCTCGGGACGCACTGGCCACAGGAGTCAGAGCTAGCACCCCAAGCTAAAGGGCCCACGCCCCAGACCCCAGCACCACAGCCATGCGCCTTCACGGTGGCCTGCCACCTCACGCCTGGCCTCCCCGGGGCCAGCAGGGTGCAGGTCGAGGGCGGGGCCGCGCCTACAGGGACCTTTGATGTCGCGGTGGATCTTGCGCTCCGAGTGCAGGTAGTCCAGGCCCCTCAGGATCTCCCGCAGGACCGTGGCGATGTAG